CTGTAACTTATTGTGTTCCTAAAATAAACGTTGATCGCCTTGATAAATTATGTAATATCTTAACCCGGTAAGCAAAAAAATTAAATTTTACTTACAAGTTTTAATTTAGCAATACTTAAATATGAAATTTTAGTTTGTTTAGTTTAATTAGCAAATGAGTAACCTATCTACTACCATTAAAATATACTGTATAAGGTGAAATAGCATTTAAACAAGTTGGGTATTGTGACGAATCGGAAAATATACCCAGTGATCAAAATCGACATTTTTCGGCGGAAGGTGTTTAGGAACGGTGCAAATTCATGTGATTGGTTGGTTGGTTGGGTAGATGGTAGATGATTTAAATGTCACATGAATTTGTACTATCCCTAAACACTGTTCGAAGAATCGTCAGTAAATTTCACCTTATTTAGTACTGATCTTCAATCTTCGTACTATACCTAAATTTACAAATATATACTAACAAACGTTATACCAATCCATTATTAACGAAAATCGGCAGGTCATATATATTGCTTAAGGAAGTAATAGCCGAGTAGCAATTAACAAAAACAATTCGAATCCAATGGAAAATTTTGATACTTTTATTTTTTTTATACAAGCTCGAAAGCAGGAACCTTACAAGTAAGTAAAACGACTTAAAAAGGGGACACAAAACAAACAAACAGAAGAGAACATTGAATTATACCTACTATTATTAGGAACATATAATTCTCTTAAAAATATTCATGTGTTGTTACATCGCGATAAAGAGGAAGAAAGAATATGGGATAATAAGATTGAAGCCGTACAGCGATTGCTGCATCAACTTGCTTAATACTTGACCGCAATTCTGATCTGAAGTGAGAAAAGAAATTACAAGTCATACTCACTAGATCTCAAATCTCCTCCTGAAAACATTGAAAGAGAATAAATTTTCCAACGCGAAAAAAAAAACAATTAAAAACCTCCCTTTGAGCTCATCATCACGTGCGCTGGATTTCTCTTCCTATTATCGTTTAAATGATTTTGTTCAAAAAAAAATAAAATAAAAATAAAAATCAACCAATAAATCAATTAGAAATAAAAAATAAACAAATAAAAATATCATTACACAAATGGCTCAAATGTTATTAAGTCGCAAGAGCTTTGTCTGGCCCATTTCTTCCTTCACCTGCATTATTATTGCCCCCATCGCCTCCATTAGCATTTACAGTGTTAACTTTTGGGCGCCTCCGTGTGCGCCTCTCATCATAATACAGCCGATATTCACAGAACATACAAATCCAATCGCCATTTTTTTCAGGAAATTTGGTTCTACGTCTTGTAACATTATTATTAATAGATTGAATGTCCACTGAGCCAGAAGTTGATGATGCGTCATCTGTCTGCTGTTGGTGTTGATGATGCTGATGTGAGTGGTGTTGATGCTGATGCTGGTGTTGATGATGGGGATGCTGATTTGAGGCATTTTGACTATTATTCACAGTCATTTGAGCTTTTTTCTTATTCTTTTTGCGACCAGCATTTGGCATTCTTTTTGGTGTTGCCGGTGGTGGTGGTGGCAGTGGTGGTAACAATGCTTTAGATCTTATTGCCGTTTGAGGACGAACATGATTATTACTATTTACA